CCATGAGTCGCTGTTTCGATTGCGTTCCTTGTTACATGTTGCATGTTGTCTGTTGTCAGTTGCATTCGAACGACGAAATTTATTTTGAATCCTAAGGCAAAGCTGTAGGCAATACGAGGCTGAACAACAGCCTCATATTGCATGAAGCTGAAACAGCCTCTTATTGTCTGGATTTCAAAATAGGGTCCGCCTTTCGAAAGTCTCGTTCCATTTCAGGAAGCCATTTCGTGTGGACGTGCATCTGGTTGTCAGTTAGAGCAGGGGGGGGGGGGGGGGTCGTAAGTGGACCCTCTTAGAGGGGGGAGTCGTACTCACACCGCCATTTCGCACATCCCCATCAGTTGCATGGTTGTCGAACGACGGAACTTATTTTGAATCCTAAGACAAAACTGTAGGCTGTACCCTGGTCGTACTTGGTCGTTGTTGGGAGAGGGGAGTCGTATGTGCCTTTGAGAGCAACTTGCAGTGGTGGGAAACATTTTTTCCCGTTGTTGACTTTTCGTGATTTTTACTATATATCCCGCCCCACCCCTGCGGTCGATGGAAAATTTTTGGGTGAAAAGCTGGGAACTGTGTGCAGGTAGGTGCTGGTGTTGGAAGGAGGGGTGGGGGGGGTCGTAATGACACCACCATTTCACACATCACGATGCTGTACCTTGTCGCGGGAGAGCTCGTCTCAGCACAAAAGCGTTCTGAATGCTTGCACACACTCTCTGAATGTGCGCGAACATTAAAATTCTAGTATCCCATTCCATATCATCTGCTTTTCTACCCTTTTCAGTCTTTTTTTCGGAAGGGAGAGGGGGTCGTTGCTTGCGAAGCTCGCTTTCGGAGGAGAATCGTATTCAGCATAAATTGATCATAACGCAATGGCGTGCCTGCTTGGAAGACCTCCTTTGTAAGACTTGGGCGGCTACAGCACAACAGAGCAACACTTAAGAATAGTTTATTTTCTGAGGCTTACACGTAGTTTTAATTTTTATCTTTAATGATCTGGTCTACAGACCGTTTCTACTGTCCTTCGCAAGATATCTTTGTCCAGCATCTGTAAATCATTTCCAGTGAGATAGTGTGATGCACTTCAGTTTTGCTCTAGTGTAAATCGTGAAATTTTTTCATTTTTCATTTCTCACTTAGGAATTATCTGCTATCTGTTAGCCATTGACGCCGAGATGTCCTCCCTTTATTTAGCTCCTGGCTGGCCTGGTTTCGCCGATGAACTTCATAACAGAAACGGAATTTGTTCATTTACTGACCTGCTCATACTGGCAAGGATGGAAACGTGCTTTCTGGTAGTGAGGAAACTCCCCATTCTTTCAGGGTACAGCGCATGTACATTCGCTAAGAGCTCCTAACTGCTACGAGTGGGTTTCTACCGACTGGCCGTAAGATTAACTGGATTTCTTACATTGTAGTAGAAGTATGTGATCACAATTGCAACATCGTGCCAGTTTGACTTGTCACCGATTAGCTTACCTGCTCACTACCCCCTTCCCCCCTGCCGATTTGATGTTTATTTAATTGTATTTACCACACAATCCTTCTTTGTCCGTTAACACGTTGACGACAATCGCGTTTTGCGGGAAAGCGCCGCGTGGGACAATGGCGTGCTTTCGCGTCCGCTTTGAGCCACCGGTGGCTCATATTGTCCCTCGTGGACCACTTTTTTGCCGCTGTCAAATTTCGCAAAATAATCAATCGTGAACTGCTATTCAACCATCCTTGACCCTATGGGATGCCATCTCATGACCTGCCCTCTGCGATCACGTCCACTTTTTAGCGCTATCGTGGTTTCCAGAATGTATGCCATAACTTCTGTTTCTAAGAATTTTCTTGGAATTTTCTGCTTTTCACACATTACAGTGTTTCATAGACGGGCACACCGACACATGCCTGGCCATGCCATAGTCGGTGTCAGAGATCGCTGGCGCCAAAGTGGCCACTGGCGCTACGTGGCGCCGACACTGGAAGGCAACGATATTCGTGATAAGGATGTCAAAGTACCTAGCTATGGAGGTTTCTATCGCATTCGGTGGCAAAAAGACTGCGAGCACCTAAATGGCGCATACTGGCGTCGTATGGCGCCGTATGGCGCCAACGATAAATAAGATCTGAGCCACATGGCGCCAACAACTAAT